TGTTTTCACCCTTCGGCCCTGTGGCACCCCCCATCCGAGGCCAAATATATGCCAGGCCACAGGGAGAGGCCACACGTCCAGCCTGGGCAGGGGCGGGGTGCTTGAGGACCGGGACAGGTGCAGGCTGGATTGGGTTTCCAGAGGCTATATATATATATAAAAAGGCTGCCGAGAGCCCTTGGGCCGGCCGCTCCCTGAGGGTGCAACACTGTGGGGCCCCGCCAGGAACGCTCTGAATTCCTGTCCAGAGGCTGCTCTCCATTTATAGCCTGAGTCCAGCAGGCCAAGGGAGCTGAGGAGGGGGGACTAGAAAGGGCGAAGGAAGAAGAGGCCAGGGAGCCCTCCCCACCCCCACCTGCTGCTGAAGGAGCTCTTCATTGTGAAGACCAGAAAACCAAGGCCTGGGTGTAGTGTGCACTTGTCCCCAGTCACAGAGCCCACCAGTCTGCTCAGCCTTGAACTGGAGGAAGAGGTGCTGGCGGACGTTCCCTCCACAGGACCCTCAGCCCATTGTCACTGAGCTCTCCCAGAACAAAGCCAGCACTGTGTCCGCTCGGGACACACTTGACTAGACTCTGCAATATAAGGGTGTGGATTCTTTCAGCTTCCAAGCTTGATGTTCTTTTCCTCCCTGCCCCCAACCCAGCACTAGGACTGAAAGGCACCAGGTCCCAGGGTGGACATACTTCTCCCTGCTCTTTCAGCAACAGGGCTGAGATGACGGTGTTGGCAAACGTCTCCTCAGAGATGTGGTGGCACTGGGCAGGCATGGGCCCCAGTCCTGGAGAGGTCTGCAATGGTCATTGAGTCCAGGGATTCCCAAACCCTTCAAGCAGCAGAAGCCTTGTAGCCAACAAAATTCCATGTGGAAATTGCATATAAAAGTAGCATGTACCACTAGGGTATGTGTGCATTTTTAAAAGTGCTTCCTAATTACTGAAGAAGGAGATTAACCTACAAATCAAGTTTAAAACTCTCAAAGCAGTTTAGATTTCTAAGCCACAGTGATAAAATATTAAATGTGTTTGGTAAGTTTGAACATAACATTTGTCTATTGTAAAGGCACCTTGATGATAGCTCTGAGGTGGTTTTTGGAATGCAAAACACAAAAGGCAAACTTGTAATCATTTAAGTCTCAGCATCCAATTCACTTCTGTGTTTGCTTGCTCAGATTTGAGAAAAGTCAATTTGTATGCATACGTGGTTTGAAGATGAAACCACGGAAATCTCAAAGTACTCCAATTAAATGGTTCATTCACTCATCCAACAAATATTTATTGAGTGCCTACTGTGTGCAAAGCATTATGCTGAGGCCAAGCAAGTAGGAAGAAATATTTGTTTCTAAATCACTAATGTAACAGTTATTCACATTCTTCATTGTGACTGGCAATCAAGTGAAAAGACTAAAGCTTATAATAATTACCAAATCTCTCTTTGGTATGCTATTATGGTCTTACAGCAAGCCACGTATAAAAGAACATGCCCCAGTTCGATGGACCTGAGTCTTGTCAAGTATGACTGAGCCTTTATGTCTAATCGACTATGCAACTGCCCAGTTTAGAAGAAATACAACCAACTTCATTAATGACACATTTCAAGAAGTGCGAATATAGAGAGAGAAATTCAAAGGGCCACCCATTCATTCATTTGACCTTTATCAAGTTCCTACTATGTGAAAGCCACTGTGTTGGTTTCTGGAAGTGTCATGATGAACAAAATATCTCTGCCTTCATGAGCTACATCAATCAATGAACAAACTAATAAAGAAGATAATCAAGGAGTGACTGTGCTAAGAAGGAAATGAGCGGGTTGATGTGACCCAGCTACCTTAGAGAGGATGGTGAGAGATGTTCCAAAGAGGCAACCTTGGAGCTGAGAGCTGATTTGTGAAAAGTAGCCAACCTTGGAAAGACCCCAGGAGAGGGCGCTATAATCAGCAAGCACAAGGCACTGAGGCAGGACGGTGCTTAGTGTTGGAAAACATGAAAGGTGGTCAGGCTAGAAAGGAGCCATCAAAGGGGGCAATGATTCCGGTGAAATTGCAGAGGTGGGCTGAGGGCAGCTTATGCAGGGTGAGGAGATGAGATTTTATTCTAAATGCAATGAGAAGCTGTTAGGGAGTTTGAAGCAGAAGAGGGATATAATCCATTTATGTTTTTAAGGGATTACTCGGGCTGCTGTGTAGTGAATGAATGCACTAGGACAAGAGCGGAAGTAAGAGCAGCCAGGAGGCTGTTGGGGTCGTCCATGGCAGCAGTGTGGCAGCTTAGTCCAGGATGGTGACACTGCAGATGGAGAGACTTGAGAGTTGTCCTAGAGGTCAAGTGGACAGGTCCTCCACATGCACAGATTTTTCCTCTGGAACTCCAGCCACATACATCCTCTTGCCTACTTGATACCTCCACCTGGATATTGAACATGCACTTCAAATTCTGCCCAAACTCGGACCTCTTGATCTGCCACGCACAAACCTGCTCTTCCCCAACTTCACTCTTCCAGGAGTCATCCTTAACTCCTCTCATCTCACTGCCCACATCCAATTGTGCATAAATCTTGCTGGCTCCATCTTCAAAATACATCTGAAATTCAACCACTTTCACCTTCTCTACAGCTGCCACCCACATCTAAGCCACCATTACTACTTACTTTGAATATTGCAACAGCCTCCAATTGGTCTCCCCACCTTCTACCCTTGCTCTCTACAACCAACATGCTCCTGTTAGAATGTAAGTCAGATTATGACATTCTTCTCTTCTGCTCAAGCCCTTCAGTGACTTTCCAGAATACAATTCCTTTGCTCCCTCTCTGACCCCATTTCCCACCACTCTTCCACTTGCTCACCCTTCTCTAGGCACACCAGCCTCCTTGCTATACTTTAAATCTACCAAACACAATCCTTCCCCAGGACTTTTGCACATGTTTTTCTTTCTGTCTGGCTCCAGATGTCTACTTCTGCCCCCCACCCCTTCATTCAGGTCTTTGCTCAAATGTAATCAGCCTAGAGAGGCCCCTTCTCTGACCACTCCATATAATGAAATAATCCTCATCACTTCGTTCCCATGCCTTGTTTTATTTTTCCTTATAGAAATTTATAATCTCCTGGCATTATACACTTCCTTGCTTATTCATTTATTGTCTGTCATCCTACCCTAAAATGTAAGCACCATGAAAGCAGGGTCTTGGTTTTGTTCATTGCTTTATCCCCAACACCTGGACCAGTACCTGGCACATTAAATTGATGCTCCATAATATGTGTTGGATAAATAAATAAAAGTGATGTTATGGCATGAAGGGAGGTGAGCATTTCATGAAGGGGACCTTCAGCACTGCTACAAGTGAAGAAGGCAGAGCTCAAAAAAAGCCCTCTATGTTAGTGGGAAGAGAGGGCTTCCCAGCATCCAGAGAGCCGGTTAGGACAACTTTCAGAAGTTAGTGGGAAAGGCACAAAAATCATTCTTACTTATATCTCTGGGCTCCAGGAGAAGAGACCCAAAGGAGTGTCTGGTATAAGGGAGACCTCTAGCCAGAGTGCTGAGAGATAGGTGTGGACTGCAGATTCAGGAAGAGGCTGAGAGGCCCTGTGGGGGTAGGTGTACCCCAGGGCTTGTGAGGGAGCCAGAGATTCCACGGGGTGGTTGCCTCCTCCTGTCCTCAGTCTCTGCAGTGGAGCTGCTGGGAAGAAATGCAGCTGCAGCCTCTGTGGGAGCTGAGCTCTGAGACTACATGGGCCCCTGTCAGGGCTCAGTGCCCCAGCCAACAGCTGGGAAGCCTACAGGGAGGGCACAGTGTACAGGGTGCCAGCGACAGAAGCAAGCCCTTCTTGTTAGTATAGCCTTGCACCTGGGACTGAGGGCTTCCACATCCTTTGTCTCTAGATTCTCACCACCATCACTACAGCAGATCGTAACTATTATCCCCCAATTTACAAAGTGGGGAAACAGACTCAGAAGGCCAGTGACTTCCACAAAATCACACAGGAAACTGTGGAGTCTGTGCTGAACTTAGGTCATTGGACTGCAAACTGCGCTCTCAAAGACTCCACTCTGAAGCGGGGTTCTCAGGATGAGCCTGGGCGCTCAAGGCCTTTGCGCAATGAACTTTTCTGGCGCAGCACCGCGCACAATGGGGAGGCAAGACGAGGAAGCCCTGAACAGATGGGAGTTTTCTTTCCAGCTGAAGAGATATCCCCTCCTAGAGCGGCACTGGATACCCGGATGCCAAAACGCGCAGGTTGAGATGGGCAGCCGTCCGCTTCCCTCCCTCCAAGCAAGGGCAGGAGCTGAGTTTGGAGAGACTGGCGCAAAGCTTTCGAAACAATCCTGTACTCCGGCATAGATGCAGCTGAATTTCTAACGGTCCAGAAAAGATGAGCAGGAACTGGCTTAATGACAAAGCTGTCTCGTCCATTTTGTATCAGGTATGCCCACTTAGACTCTCGGAGTCTCTCTTGGTTGCGCGTTTCTCTGACTCTAGCGTTCTGCTTTCCGAGTGTCTCTCAGCCTTTTGGCCATATCGCTCACATTCTCACTATCTCAGTTCTGATTGTGTCTCTGCCCCGGTACCAAGTGTCTCTCTCCAAATCTCTCCCTATCTAATTTCTACGCCTACCCTACTTCTGGTTCCTCCTCCCCAACGCCAAATCAGAGGACAGGGAAGCCCAGAGTCAATTGGGAGGTGAGTGCCCTAGGACAGCGTTTCCCGCGGACACAAGAATCTTGTGCTGGAGAGGTTTGGAAAGAGTGTGCCCAGGAGCCAAGTGCAGCCGAGTTGAGCTGCCAGCTTCTGCCTCCCTTCCTGCCTAGGGAGGAGACCGAGAGCGCGCGCCCGGGAGTGTGGAGAGGTAGGGGGGTGGCCCCTGCGGCCACCCTGGGGATCCCAAGCTCCTCCCTCCCCTGTTCCTATTGGTCTCGGGCTCCCCCGCCCCCAGCAACCCGCTGCAGCCCCGGGGGCCTGTAGGCTACTACTGGATAAATAGCCCCCGGCGCCTGGCTTAAAGGTAGGGGTGGAGAAGCCCCAGGGCACTGCCGCCACTTTCCCGGGAGCCCGTCAGGCCCTATTGGACAGGGCAGGGTGGGGGCCGGTCGGGTATACATTCAGACGCCCAGCACTTTGCTATCACACGGCCGGCTCCAGAGAGGCAGAAAGTTTAAGGCAACCCCTGCCGTTGGGGTTGGGCAAAGCCAGGATTGCACCGCCCCCAGCTGGGATATGGAGCTGCTGTCGCCGCCGCTACGCGACGTGGACTTGACCGGCCCCGACGGCTCTCTCTGCAACTTTGCCTCAGCGGACGACTTCTACGATGACCCATGTTTCGACTCTCCGGACCTGCGTTTCTTCGAGGACCTGGACCCGCGCCTCGTACACGTGGGCGCACTCCTGAAGCCGGAGGAACACTCGCACTTCCCTGCGGCTGTGCACCCGGTCCCAGGGGCGCGCGAGGACGAGCATGTGCGCGCGCCGAGCGGACACCACCAGGCGGGCCGATGTCTACTGTGGGCTTGCAAGGCGTGCAAGCGCAAGACCACTAACGCCGACCGCCGCAAGGCCGCCACCATGCGCGAGCGGCGCCGCCTGAGCAAAGTCAACGAGGCCTTTGAGACGCTCAAGCGCTGCACGTCTAGCAATCCTAACCAGCGGCTGCCCAAGGTGGAGATCCTGCGAAACGCCATCCGCTATATCGAGGGCCTGCAGGCGCTGCTACGCGACCAGGACGCCGCGCCCCCTGGCGCCACTGCCGCCTTCTACTCGCCTGGCCCACTGCCCTCCGGCCGCGGCGGCGAGCACTACAGTGGCGACTCGGACGCGTCCAGCCCGCGCTCCAACTGCTCCGACGGCATGGTAAGGCTGGGATCCCGGGCTAGAGGAGAAGTGGGAGCAGCTCTTGGGGGATATTCTGTGAATCGTTTCCAAGGGAGGGGACCTGGCCCTCAGTGGGGAGAATTGAACTGGGAACCTTCCGGGGAGTGGATCCCGTGTCCCAGGCAGCTGTCACTGGGGTGGTCTAATGTTTTGGGGACGCACAGTGCAGATGCGATCCACCCGACTGGGAACGCTATTAGAACACTGCTGCACCGCGATCTGCTTCTTCTCCACTTAAACCTGTTTCCAAAGTTAAGATGTGTGCTCCCAGGTGACTGACGCCTTCTCTTTGGCCTGACACGCTGCAGACAGCTCCTGTCCACCCTTACCCCATCCCACCATCAAGTAGGGCAGGAAACTCGTGGTGAGACGGGGAGCTGGGGTGGGGACACAGAGGATGATGCTCCCGCGGTCTCGTGGGCCTGAGTCGGTCGCCCTTGCCCTTTGCAGATGGACTACAGCGGCCCCCCGAGCGGTGCCCGGCGGCGGAACTGCTACGATGGCACCTACTTCAGCGAGGCGCCCAGTGGTGCGTATTTGTGCTTCATTCCCAAGTTCCCCTTTGAGCTGTCCTAGCTTCTCTCTACCTAGGACCAGCCACCTCTCCACCACCCCCACCCCCATCTCACACACACACACACACACACACACACACACACAAAACTTGGAAGATCGAACAAGGAACAAAATACCAAGCATGTAGCTCCCTCTCTTTTTGCCCGAGCTCTCTCTCTCTGGATCGTCCCGGACAATGACAGGCCCTCAGTGTCCCGTCTGTCCCATAGCACTGGGACCAGAGTGGGGGAGTTGTCTGAGACTCAACCCCTGGATACTAACCTACCCCTCCTCGCGCAGAGCCCAGGCCCGGGAAGAGTGCTGCAGTGTCGAGCCTCGACTGCCTGTCCAGCATCGTGGAGCGCATCTCCACCGAGAGCCCCGCCGCGCCCGCGCTTCTGCTGGCGGACGCGCCGCCGGAATCGTCTCCGGGCTCGCACGAGGCGGCCGCTCCAAATGAGGGCGATCGTGGCGCCCCAACCCCTACCCCCGATGCTGCCCCACAGTGCCCCGTGGGCGCGAACCCCAACCCGATCTACCAGGTGCTTTGAGGGTGTGGGCGGCCGTGTCGGAGGACGCCGCTGTCCACCTGCCCGAGGGATGGTGCCCCTAGGGTTCCCTCGCGCCCAAAAGATTGAACTTAAGTGCCAACCACTACCCCCAATCGCGCTTTAAAAGCGACCCCTCACAAGGGAGGAGAGGCGGGAGAACTGGTGCGTTTCCGCCTTCCGCACCCCAGAGCAAGGACACAGTCCTTTTCCCCATGCAGCACCCTTCCCTGAGACCCGCTGCGACGACTGTTAAGTGTTCCTCCATGGGACAGAGCTGATCCTGGAGGGGCCAGGCCCTTCCTCTTCCTCACCCCTTTCCCCCAAGGGAGGTGGTACCCCCGCAGACCTAAGCCCCGTACCGGGACACCCGGCTCCCTTACGCGGGCGTGGCCTCTCCTTTGCCCGCCCTGGAGAAATCAGCTCTTTCCCACCGCCAGTGCGCTGCGCTCCCATCCCAAGTGTCACACGTGTACCGGTAACCACTCCCACCCCCTGTTCAGGACCACTTTTTGTAATACTTTTTTGTAATGTATTCCTGTAAATAAGAGTTACTTTGCCCGAGCAGGAGCCCCTAGGGCTGTATTTATCTCTGAGGCATGGTGTGCGGTGCGAAAGGGACTTTGTATGTTTATACCAAAGTGGGGCGAGCTGCAGGCGCTCGCTCAGGTGTTGGAAATAAAAATGCTAATTTATACCACGGTAGTTCTGGCTTTCCCTAGGGAGAGGGGCAGCCTATTGACCAGAAGGAAAATAGCAAACTGGGCCCTGTAGGTGGCAGACGGATTGGAAGAAGGAAGCCTGGGGCCAGGAGAGGGAAGGGAGGGATGAATGTCTCTCCAATATGTAGGAAAGTTCCTGTGACTTTGACAAACATCATCACACACAGGTCAGTGGTTTTCATATCAGATACTATTATAATGATCTGAGTACTATATAGAGATCCATGTCTAGCCCCACCTCCCAGAGAATCTGCTTTAATGTGTCTTATCTGTTCCAGATACCCCAGGGCCAGGTATTGGTATTTCTCAAAAGCTTCCCAGGTGATTCTGAAGTGCATGTGAGATCAAGACTCACATTTCTCCATACACAGAGAGAAGCCAGAAAGATCACTGAGAAGTCGTGGCCCCAGGTGCCACTTGGAATTCTCATGGGTACAGAGGAAGTGATAGTGTGCTCACAGCATTATGAGGAAACAATAAATATGTATAAAGGGCCTGGTAAGCTGCATGGTACTCACAGGCTCTCAGTGATAGGTGTAACCACAGGGGGATATTATTGAAGATCAGACAGGTACAGATGCCTCAACTCAGCCAATAACCCAGCACATAGAGCATCCTGGCACTGTTAGATCTCATCAAACCCAGAACCTGCGAGGGGAGGGGCACGCGCCAACCTGCAGCACCACATGCGGCATGGATGCTCTCATCAAGATGCGCACACTCAGAGAGCAGAGGAGGGGCCACTGATTTAGCCGAGGTGCTGGGGACGGCTTTCTGAAAGAGGTGCCACTTCAGCTGTCTCTTGAGAAACAAGAAAATTAACACAAAGCTCATAGACCCAGTCACAACCACAAAGGAGAGATCCCGCACACACAGAGGCACTTCTGCCCTCCCATCCTTCCTTAGAAGGGCAGCCTGGCAAAAATTCTTCTCCATTCACACGCCACCCCAACTCCGCCCTCTAACACACATACTCTTGCCACCAAGACCTCGGTGCTCCCTAATCCCACCCTTACAGACCCTTTTCCCTGGAAACCTTACAAGCCCACTTTCAAGGGCTCTGCTCACCCCGTGGGGGCCCTGGGGGATGCAGGCAAGATGTGATGCCAGCAGGAAGGACCTCAGTACATATCTGGGGATCCGCTCTCTGCTCTCCCCAGTGCAGGGTCCCTGAGGAGCCTCTCTTCCTAATGATCCTCAGCTTTTCCTCTGGCTGCTTCCCCAGATGTACAATGGGGTTTCTAACACTCCTTTGAGACCCCTTGGGGCTCATTTGTGAATTCGTTCAGCAGATGCCAAGTCCTATGCTGGGTGAAAACAGAGACCAGTGGACACTGTTCCTGTCCTCAGGAAGCACCCAGACCTTTGGGGAAATTCTATCTTTCAGCAGCTGGCTGCATTAGAATCAGTGAAGTGCTCTAATGGGGGGTATTTGTGGCAGAGGAATATGACAGGTACAGAAACCACAGACAAGCAGGTCTCCCCTAATAAGAATCTTGAGGAGTTGGTCAGGAAAGAGGAGCCAAATAAGGATGTTCCACGCTGAGGAAACAATAGGTGCAAAGACCCAGAGGTGACAGAGCAAACTGTGGAACCAAAACTGCTCACAGGGAGGGGCCAGGGATAAGATGGAGAAAAGGCAGAGGCAGGACCACCATGCACCTCATTTGGGCTTTATCTGAAAGGTAACAGGAAGCCATAGAAGAACCCAGACTGGGGAAGGACTCCCATAAAATCTGTACTTCAGAAAGGCCGGCCTGGGCTGACAGAAAGGACAGGATGGGAGACATGTCAGAATTGCCACTGGAGGCCACACGGGACACATAACATGGCCTGAACTGGGGCGGTGAGTGGCGGATAGGAGAGAAAGCACCATAGTGGAGAGAGTTGTGTCAGACAAAGTGCAGAAGCCGAGGGTACCGTGGAGAACCTTGAAGCACAATCCTTACCCTCAGACAGCTTAGCATTCACCGGGGAAATAACCATTAGACGGAGAACCAGGTGGATAGATGCAGTTATAAATGCTGAGAAGTGCTTTAAGAAAGAGTAAAGAGTGTAATGGCTGGTGATAATGGGGCAAGAGGAGGTAGGGAGGGGAAAAGAGGAGGAGGCAGAGTTTCTGCACTGAGGGAATCAATTACAAAAATGAAAAGGGCTCTAGCAGCCTATAGAGAGCTAGTGTGCAATTGGAAGAAGGTGTCCCTCTTTCCCGAAGATACTGCTGTGCACAAGTGTTCATGGCTAGGCGAGCCACCACTGGGCTTCAGCCCCCACTCGCTTCTCCAGCCAGGTGCACCTACGCAGCGAACACCTGTTCACATTGCCTTGTGTGTGAAGGTCCTAAAGAAACGAGGAAATAGGAGGAGCCAGGATGAGGCTCTGGTTTGTTTCTGAGAGAGCAGTGCCGGTGCCCCTGCAGAGATGGAGACCTCAGGAGAAGCAGCAGCTATCGGGAAAGGTTTAGTCCAGCACACTTCCAGTTATAAGTGACAGGAACCCCATTCACACTAGCTTAAAGCCCACGAGGGGTGTGTTGGAAGGACACGGAGCAGCTCACATGTGGAAGAGCACTACATGCACCAGAGCTTCCACAGGCTGGAGAGCCGGGACTGGAGCCCACCCTGCTTGTTCATACATCCCCTTCTTGCCCCTACTTGGCTTTACAGTCTCCTACTCCATGTTGATTTTCTCCAGCAACTCAGGGATTACCTTAGATCTCACCATTAAATTCCAGTTAGACAATTTCCAAGGGAAGTCCTAGCTGGTGTGGCTCAGTTGGTTGAGCACCAACCTATGCAGCAAAAGGTGTGGCTGCATTTCCAGTCAGGGCACATGCCCAGGTTGTGGGTTCGATCACTGGTGCTCAGGATGCACAGGGGTGGCAAACAGTCAATGTTTCTCTCTCATGTCAATGTTTCTCTCTCAAATTCATAAAAACATTTTTAAAAAATTCCCAGGGAAGAATTCTAATGGACTCTAATTGGACTAGCATAGGTTATGAGGCAGGATTTGAACCCATGCAGAGGGGCTCCAGAGACTGCACTCTGAGCTGCCTTGCTCTGTGGTCTCTGCCTCCAAAGAGGATGTTAGGAAAGAGGACAGTCAAGGGGAGGGGAGCAGCTGAAAATTGAATCCCCCATAAATGATGGGATTTGAGCCCACCCCGTAGCTGGCATGTTCCTCACCTCAGTCCCTGGTGGTGGTGGTGGGGGGGGGGGGCGGGGAGGAGGCACCTAGCTGAGCCCAAACCATTTGCAGTGTTTATGAAACATCTCTTGTTCTTGGGCCCTTTTTACCTGGGCTGGATCTGAGGAAACACTGGGCCATGCTCTCCATAGAGACATATTGGTATGTCTCTACATGTGTGTGCTCATACAAGAACACACGTGCACCCAGAGCACACCCCCGAGGAGCTGCACCATGCAGTTTAAGCGCCAGGTCCTCTCCCTTGCACGAGCCCCTCTGAAGGCCCTGGGAAAGCCCTGGAAACATGTTCACCTGGTCTGGTTGCTTTTTTAATTTGTCAAAGTAAATTATTTTAGCCAATTGATTATGACCATTGTCCATATTCTGACTTCCCTTTGTATTGGGTGGCATGTCCGGACAATGGCATCCTTATATTTTGTCTGGATTTAGTGGAATAAATTTTAAGAAAATGGCATATAAAAACAGAAGCAAAAATGATGAACAATGAAATAAGTTGATTCTGACATTGACAAGGCAATAGTACCCCAAAAATATATTTGAATCATACCAAAAAGCAGTTTATCGAAAGAAAGAGATAACCTTTGAATGGAACTATTGAAAAGACTCTTGCATTGTCTGATAATCCAATAAAGAAGAGTGAATTGTATGGACATGAAGAAAGATTTAAAGTTTTTGCTGGTCTAACACAAAATTCTAACATCAAGAAAGACAACAAAACGTAATATGCCATTTAAACAAGACCTCAGCCCTGGCCGGTTTTACTCAGTGGTTAGAGTGTTGGCCCTCGGACCAAAGAGTCGAGGGTTTGATCCTGGTTGAGGGCACACACCTTGGTTGCGGTTCGTCCCCGGCCCTGGTTGGGGTCCTGCAGGAGGCAAGCAGTCGTCGATGTGAGACACATCGGTGTTTCTCTCTCTTTCTCCCTCCTGCCCCTTCCTCTCCTGCTACCCTTCTCCTTCCTACTCTATCTGAAATATCAATAAAAAAAATATCTTTCAGTGAGGATTTAAAAAAAAACAAAAGCAAGACCTCAACATCAACATTTTAATGAACACTGTCAGTTTAAAATCATTTAAAAATTAATCACCACACACATACACACACACACAAAACCCTCAAAATACCTTGAATTCTTGCAGTCTACAGATGAGAGAAACTTGATGGAGGGTTCCCCAAATTTGACACCAATCCTAAAATTGTAATGTCATTTCCAAAAGAGTGGTGAGTCTGAAATAGACTTCCCTAAATTATCAAGGATACAAAACAGGTTTTGATCAACCATGTTGTAGGAAAGACTGAGTTATCTGAATCGTCTCTCAGTTCTCTATATAGAAAGTGATATTATAAAACCATGGTCACATAGAAGAGGCAATAAAAAATATGCAGCCCACCAGATGCAGTGGGAAGGAGTGAGCAAGACTGGCAAGAAAAATGAGCAAGGGGGGAAGGCAGAAGAACGAGAAGAGGAGGTGGAAAATAAAGACAAAAATGATGATGGTGCTAACGATGAAGAAAAGCTGGTTCTCGCTCAGATTTTTCTCATGGATAAAATATTTAAATCCTCTGCACACGACTCACTACTATTAAAGGAAAAACACGAAATGTGAGGCTGTGTAATATTTGT